GTCTTCTTCCCACTCCTTTTCGAGTATCTGGAAGTGTTTCTTTTGTGTATATAATATTTATAATTTCGTATTTCGTATTATGTAAATGTAACTCAGGGTTATTTATGCGCAAATTTGATATTCTACTTTGGTTTCTTGTACACTTATTTGCTCGAAATAAACATGAATGAATGAGTGCTGGTGTGTACTATCCTGGTCCACACTTGCACAGTTTTTCCAATGTGGTTTTACTGCAAATGGCAAATAAATTAAATATTGAGTTTCAAGGGACCTACAGCTGCAGGTTTATGTTCAACTATGCTTTTTTGAACACCATTTTAATCACCTCAGAGTTATATATTCCATACGTGAGCTGAATCACTACAGTAAGTCAATTACCTAAGCCCCTTTAACGATTTACAATAAAATATTCCATTTAAAATATTGACTTTTGGTCTTCCATGCGAGTGTATTTCATGCCACTCCGACAGCATTATTCAGTGACTTTCTGCTGGTAAATTGCTCCGTCTGCAGTCCTGCCTGTCCCGTCTGGGCTGGGGTGGCAGCTGTTGTGTTCCTAAATGCAAGAGAGGGTCAGAGACTGTGGCTGACTGCTAAATGAGACAAGGGCCATCACGCAAACACTCACGGATCCTGCACTGACAAGGCTCCAGATGGCAGAACAAACCAACACGACTACGCTTCATCCTCCTACGTACAACTTAGCTCTTTTCAAGTCTACGAACGCCTCGATTAAAACAAAAAAAAGTGTGTCTGTGAATTATGGGGATACAAGGTGGCGAGAGGGAAAAACTCATATTTTATCTTCTTCGGGTCATCAGTGTTTTGTGATTAATGTGTTTCAGACGATGTAGATTAGATTGCAAATTAGACGTTGTGTTGTCCTGACAGTGTGTAGAATTAAAACATGACATTAACATAGGGACACTGCTGTTTTTCACACTGATAACACTGTGGATCTGAACTGAAATCCATTAAGCTAGTTCTTGTCTCGACCAAACAAGAGACGTTTGATCGATTTGTCGACTAAAACTGGGGGTGTGCCAAATACAATCAATATTTCTAAGTATCTGCAATAAAACTGTACACAAAAAATCTAAAAACAAATAAAATAAAATCACAAAAATATTGAAAACATGAATTCATTGAGCAGAAAGTCTGGGCATTGCTGCTTAGACTGCTGCCTCCACGACCTGGTAATGGATAAAAGGAAAGAAAATGGAGGGATTTATAGTAAAATTATTAAAAATTGTCTGGCTTGAATATTAAATTGTATTACAGTTGTGTAACACAGTGTTTGATCAACTAAGAAGCCGTTGACCTTTAAATCGACCAAACAAAAAATATTTACAGCCCAAATTATAACGCCAAAACAAAATCAAGCTCTTTGGTGTTTGAATGGTTCAAAGTTAAGAAAAAGGGTGAACGAAGAACATACTTGGACAGACCAAATATTAAGACTCTATTATAATAGTTCTTGCAACCCCCTCTATCTTAATTATGTCCATATTTGGCCGTAGCTTTTTAAATGTTGTATATTCAAACTCTCCGTTCCACCGGCCAAACTCGGCACCATGGGGCACAGAGCATTCAGTCGCTCTGCTCCCCAGCTCTGGAACTCTCTCCCCTCCGACCTCCGTAACATAGACTCCCTGCCACTCTTCAAATCCAGACTCAAAACTCACCTGTTCAGACAGTCCTATAACACCTAGTTATGCGCGCACCCTCTCAATATTGTACTCTGTTTTATTCTGTCGCTCTTGTTTTTATTGTTTTTATTGTGTCCATTGTACAGTGTCCTTGGGTGTTCTGAAAGGCGCTTTCAAATAAAATGTATTATTATTATTATATTCAACAGCGTCTGCTTCTGTATCAGTTTACATTAAACCTGGCTACACTTTTATAAGAACAGGTGGTGCAATGTGTTTTCACTGTGGTCACGCTGCGCCACCCCTGAGAAATCCATATCCGTCCTGCCGTGTCTGCAGGAAATTGAGATTTAAACAGGCTTAATCTGTTCCTTACTTCTCATACATTGGACTGGACCCATCAATACTTACATAGCCACACCTCACACACAGAGTGGACCATCCATCTTCAGTCCCAGTTTGGATTCGAGCACAATGAAATCAACGCACAATCCTTCATTATTGATCAGTCACACACAGATGGATATGTCATACATCTGAAGCGGTCAGGCATGTTAAATCACCATCTTTCTAGAAAAAAAGTACTGGCCACTTTTGCTACAAAGAGGTTGTAAGAACTCCAAGATACAAGTATAAGTGTTAATTCATCGTCTTTTTGTCTTGTTTTTGTGTGTGCATCTCATTCTTGGCATGTGTTTTGCAATCCTGAAGTATCTCCGCCATTGGACAAATAGAAGTTGTTTTATCTTATTGGGATAAAGCCCATTCAGTCCAGTTGTTAAGTAGTTGGAGAATATACGGTATCCATTAGGACTACTTCTACCACTGGTGCTTGATACGAGTTACAGTGGTCTATGGGGAGAGCTCAGTGTAAATACATTTGAGATGAATAAAGCACAACTATGGCTTGCTAAATGTTGAACAACCCGGACCCTTTTCCCATTCATTTGATATACAGTAATATGTGCACCATCTACTGTTATAGTCGCCATGTTTCATTTTGCATTGACTCTCCAATAGAATAAATAAACCAAAATCATTCTACAAAATTTGTGTTCACCTCGGATTGAGCCAGCAAACAACTTTCGCCCTCTGATCAATGGGACCATTAACCGAATGAGCTCGCTGTATCGAATACCTCATAAAAACACAGGATTTCCCATAAGTGGCAGCAAGAAAAATAGCCACATTTTGGTTGGCGACGTAACCATTTGTCAACCTGAAATCAAATTGCGTGCATTCCGTTTTTATTATGCGGCAACAAACAGCAGTGTTTTTACTTTTAGTAATTACAATCTTGTTCTAATCCAGCAGAGTCCACTGGATGTGATTTAATGAGGATGAATGGCTTCTGAACGATACACGCGCCGAAGCATAAACAAGACTGTCATTGAATTACATCTGCTGCATACATTGAGTATTGTTATCATTGTGGGCTGTACACAAACACATAGAGAGTGCTGCCCAGTGCACGCAGCTATGACCTTGAGCAAATATTCAAATGTATGCTTATTTCATAGCTTGTATACAACCAGAGCTTACAATGCAAGAGAGAGAAAATACCATATGGTTTTCCAGTGTGGAATCATTCATAATTTCTGATTATGGATTGATAATGTTCTGTAAAGGTAAAATCATTACTGAGATTTACAATATTTAAATGCAGTCGGGACATGTAATATTGATTTCTGAGAAAGATAAGGTATATGAGATTGACAGGCGGATTGGTGCAGCGTGCGCAGTGATGCAGTCGCTGTATCGGACTGTCGTGGTGCGGATTCCCGGGGAAGACCCAGGACACGCTGGAGGGACTCTCAGCTGGCCTGGGAACGCCTTGGGGTCCCCCCGGACGAGCTGGAGGAAGTGTGTGGATAGGGAAGTCTGGGCGTCTCTGCTTAGACTGCTGCCCCCGCGACCCGGCAACGGATGAAGTGGAAGAAAATGGATGGATGGATGGATAAGGTATATGCTGTGTGATTGCAATGTCAAAATAAATTTCCATTTCCAAGTCTGTGACTTCCTGTTACTTACGTGGCAATAAAAATGATTCTGATTCTGATGCTGAAAATACAGTATGGCACAAGTTTAACAAAGGAGCAAACAAACTCAAAGCAATTCAGCAAATGTCTATGAACCGACACCCTATGAAAAAACATTGAGACTCTTTCATCTGGGAAATACAAAAAAACACTCCTGGAGGTTTTGACAATATCTGAAGACGACTGAAACACATTCGCCTGATAGACCTGTAACTACAGCAACAAGGAAGGCATAGTCCTCCAATCATCTATACTGTACATACTTTGTGTGTGTGCATGGTAAAACATGAGTTAATTTGTTGTTTTGTGCTTGAGTTATTATCCCTTTCGCCGCCTTATTTGAAAATATGTTTTTCTGAGTGTCAAAATACTAAGAGACAATGAAAAATAATTTGAATAAAAGAATTTGCGCATCAGGGTCATTTTGTGATGAAGATAAACTGACCTACTCCTTCAAAACCATTTATATGTTTGAAAGAGATCATTTCCAATTGTAATCAAATTAGATGATTAAGCAGACGAGTAATGGATGATATGAAGTATGTACGATAGCCGTTTCAATCTTCCTTGGCTTATAATAAATATAGTGCAAAGAGCAGCTTATGCAAACTACTATAGCTCACACATTATGTTCCCTTCTCACACCTGCAACCTCGTTCTGCTAGAAATAACCCCAAAAGCCTTCGGTGTCTCCAGAAGTGCTTCAGAAAGTCACGTCAGCTATAAAACCCTATAGCTGATGTATAGTTGTTGAGATGCATTTTCCTGCTATCACTGTTCCCCCCCACCCCCCGTATATTAGATCTGCCCTGCTGTGCTGCCTTCCCTTACATATAGTGTGTGGGGACCTTTGACCGGGTCTCTCTGTCTGTGGACCCCGTCTCTACCAACACCATGTAGGAGGAGGCATTCTGCTGAGGCCTGCCAGTGCCTCTCTACCTCCATCTTTGTCCTGGTGTGTGTGCATGGTCAATGTTCTGTTGCCTCTGTATGTATGCTGTTACTGTGAACTGTCATCCAATGTTCTCTTTTATATCAATCTGGTTTAAGCCTAATATATGAACTCACACGTTGTTAAGATATTACTTTTCAGTCAATATCAATTAAAATCTTACATCGTGTAAGATTGTTTTTTCAGCAGTAATTAAACATTATGTGATTCAATATATTATACTGTATACTATGCAACACATATTTTCCTTATTAACATCAATATCATTGCATATAATTCCTCTGCAAAAGTGCAAAATGCATGGAATCAAAATAATTGACGTCATACATCATGGATGCAGAGAACATGCAGTGGCCTTACCTGAGACCGTTCGGACGACCTCAGTGGTGTTCCTCAGCCCCACAAAGGAGAACTGGTAGAGCCTCCATGAGCGGATGTCCCCCACCTCCACAGAGCTCCTCTTCCACTTGTACACAATCTCGTCCCGGGGGTATCCGTCTGTGAGGAGAGGTCAGGTCAGAGCAAGGACCATCACAACAAACAGAGAGAGAGAAAGACTGTGGCTCTGTGCACCGTCATGATTGTTGTGAGAAACATATAAAAATAGGGTTTTTGTCTATTTGGACAAAGTAAAAAGCAGATTTTTGCATCAGTTGATTTAATTGATGTTAGAAAGATGACATGTGAACCAGTTTTTTGTTTAAAATGCCCACAGCTTGGAGCCAGTTTTTCTCATGGAGGAACTGTTACATAACTAAAACTATCGACTATGTCTTCTTCCCATCTGTGAGGAGCAAACTTGTTTTTGTAACGGCTGTGTGGACGCAGAAAAAGACATTATGAAAAAGGACCAATATAAATATTTTATGGTGGAAACACAATTTGAGACAATCTGAAGCCACGTCACTCACAGGCTTTTTGTAAAACACTGAGATCACGTTTAAGGCAAAATGCTTGTAGTGCTAAATCCTTGAACTATTTATTGTATTCAATGGAAAGCACATGCAGCAATAGATTATGCTGGATAAAAGGTTTCCTGCTTATATGACGTTTTTGAGGATGTTTTTTTCAACCAGCTGTCTCCATCCAAGTTTTGCTGTATAGAAGAACAGCATATTCATATTTTTCTGTTCAATACTGCTAGTATCAGGCTGTACAATGAACACAGTACAAAATACATTATTATGAGAAACTTGCAGCTATTTCTTCTTTGTGTTCAAACTAGTGTCCATGATGAGGTCACTTCAGCCCTGTCACAGAACCAGCTTTATTAATACTAATTCACATCAATTAGGCAACAACGTACCGATAAAAGGGAGGAGCTTAAATAATACAACTTCTTCCATCCACAAAAACTTTCACAACACAACACTAAAAGCCATTTAGAGCGCGCTTCTAACCATCCACCACATTATGTACAGTCTGTCTGCTGCTTGGCTCTTCACTGGCAGAAAATTATTGATTCACTTTGTTCTTATGGGAACAATCTGTGCTTCTCTGGCCCAGTAACAGGAAAATCACTTCTGGAAGCTTTGCTGGCATCTTCTTCTATGTTGTCTCGGTTCCAAAAATCTTCCATAAATACTGTACAATGGAAAGCAATAATTCATTCACTGACTACATTATTAATGGGAAAGAAGGACAAGCCATAGGTTTGCAATATAGTAATGGATTCACATCATGCATTCGCTACATGTCCAGCTGCATTTTGCTAGTGACAAGTTAATAGTCGCTTGGCATGTCCAACTGTGGTTCATTTACATAGAGCATTAGGGCTATTTGTTAATGACCAACAAATTATGTTCAACTGTTTGTTGTTCAGGGTCCCCAATTATCTGTTCCCTGTGAAATATTTAGCTTGGCTTATTCAAATCCATTCCTTAATGTTTCCATTAAGGCAAACGACAAGCTTACCATCCGCTAGCCTTACATTTTGCATATTTAATTGAAAGGGGTCATTTCCATTCAACTATATTCCTTTACAAAGCATTCATACGAGTCAATATGATATCCATAATGCTTTTCATCTTGGAGGTGGTCACTCCCAAAGAAACTGTATGCAGCGAGGTCACAAGCTTTGCAAAACCTTCAGCAGGTGTTGTAGAAGTGCACGAGTCCAGATGAAAAGGCTGAGATGAAAACTTATGGAGTTTTGGAGTTTGGAACCTCAGCGATCACAAGGACACTTTAAAACACAGCCCCTGAGTTTGTCCATTCACTGATACAATAGTAATGATTGCCATCTGCTGGCTGTTTGAACAACTGCACCAAGAAGAGGCGCGAGGAGCATGTGAGCTTTTTTCCTTGATTGTCTGTTTGAAATCCACAAATAATAATAATGCATCGGTTTTATACAGCGCTTTTTTGGACACTCAAAGACGCTTTACATGTCATTATTCATTCACTCCAAACACGGTGGTGATAAACTACTACTGTAGCCACAGCTGGGGCACACTGACTGAAGCGAAGCAACAAGTATGTGCCGACCACTAGGGGTGGGAACCTAAGGGTTACCTCACGATACGATACGATACACGATGCGTAATGTAGCCATATATTAAGTATTGATACCAATTTTTTTTTTTAAGTAAAAAAAAGAGAAATTATATATATATATATATATATATATATATATATATATATATATATATACATACATACATACATATATATCTTTTTTTTTTTCTAAATCGATATCGATACTTGGCAAATGCATATCGATAATCGAATCGCGGGAGAAAGTATCGCAATATATCAAAAAATTGATATATCGTCACACCCCTACCGACCACCACCAACCATTCACACACACACCAGACTCATTCTAGGCAATGGGGGTAAAGTGTCTTGCCTAAGGACACAACGGCAGTTTGGCACTTTCCAGCCGCAGCCGCCCCACTGTGGCTGGTGTTCCCAGAGGTTAAGTGTCTTGCCAAGGACACAATGACAGCGGGAGTCGATGGTGAAAGTCGGGCTCGCATTGGCTCTGAGGCCAATGCTCTACCAACTGAGCTACTGTTGCCTAATTATTATGGTAGCTACAATCATGTTCTTATTGGACAGTTTTAGAATGTGTGCATTATTTTGTGTATTTTTGTAAAATACCCAATGAAAGGCCGCAACTTAGTGTGTGCTACCATGTACAATTTAAAGCAGTAAATCTTGCAAAGCAATGGACTTTTCCGCTCAGTAGAAATAGTTGTGTATTAGCCAAGGAATATCTTGATAGATTCCTTGGCTAATACATGTTGTACGTGTAAAATGGATTAATCAAATAATTTCCCCCGTAGTTATAGCAGATTAATGCATTGCCCAGAACTGCATTATAATCAATGACAGTTGTGCTAGAACTGCACATTTACATTCTCCCTCATTAGAATTGCAAACCCAACATGGCGCAGTGCTTCAAAATCTTATCTCTCCACATCAAAAACAGGATTGTGCATGGTTTGTAGTGGCACGCTTTTGTGGCACGTGGCAAGAAATGGTGCCACGTGATCAACAGCAATCCTTCTACAGCCACCAAAAAGCAATAAAATTCTACATATTATGATGAAACTCAAATGAATGAACGTGTTCCAAATATTGCCCAGCTACACTTAGGCTGCTTATGCTTCTCATCAGTGTTTATTAAAGGTGATGTCAACAACTTCAATTGTATTTAATTTTTCAAATAATGTATATTTCTGTTCATGGGGCAACAACATGTTTAACACAGTCCCTCCCCTTGCCAAAACTTCAACGTGTATAATTTACTGGAGGAGAACAGTTCAAGTGATGAGGGGTCTCATGGATTTCAATCAATTTTGACCAATCAGGAGGCTGCAGGGGTGAGCGTGAGCGGGTCTAACCGGTGCTCGTCTTTGCAAAAGGTTCAGTCTCTTTTCACAATATGAAAAGTAACTGACGTTCAGTTTAAGAATGCAGTGATTGCGTAGATCTCTGTGGACCCATAGAGTAACCGTATTATCATAACTTAGCCTTTATGCCCATTCAAACACACAGCTGGTGAGCCATTTGGATGTAGGTCAATCTTTGAAATGTCTCCAAAAAATAAAGGAGTAAAATTGATCAAACTAAATGGGATGCAATCATCGGTCTTAAGACATGGACGCACCATTCACTGCAGAATCCATGTAGTGTGACTTACGTAACCAGAGTTGTTATAGAATACAATAAGAGTGAGTGGGCAGAAGCACTAAGCCTTTTTTTTCCCATAAGCCATGAATTGTCTTTCTGTGATGTGAAGATACAGACTGGCTGCTGTAGGGACGGCAGCAACAATCATATTTTTTATTTTTTGTGTTGTTGGGCTTCTTGAATCTAAAGCAAGAGAACAACTAATAATAAGTGGTGCTGCATGAGGATTAAGTTAGTCAAAAAATGGCTTTCTCCCTTTCTGAGTAAAACATATACTAAAATGTACACAGTTATAGTCCGTACAGTAGATGGTAATGAGAATTATGAACGATTCTTTTAACAATAAAGAATCTGGGTGCGCACATTCACAATTAACACAGCAGCATGTAAACAGAGTAATGGTATTTATTATCACAGTATAATGCTGATTAAACTTGATTTGGTGCAAGATCACATTTTGTTTAAGGGCGAGTTCACACTTAAGTCTCAAGTTAATCGGAGCCACATAACAGTCTAATAAAGTCACATTTATTTTCTCAAAAGACGTGAACAGGCTTACAGTTGGCCTGTGACAGTTGACCAGTGTGCACATGTGTGGCTGGTCCAAATCCAAGGTGAAATATTTCTGCTAAATTGAAACCACAATTGGTCCGCCTGAAGCAAACTCCAGTTCACTTTGGACCAAAGTGTGAACAAATCACACCTACTCTGTCCTCTTCTCATAGAAAAGGCTTGAATCATGCGTTTAATTAATTTACTTTAATACAATAAAGGTAAAGTGTATAACAATAGTATACATATAGGCAAATCTTAAACCTAAAGTTCTTGATGTTATTTTTGATCTTCTGAAAAACCATACTCTGAAACAAACCTTAGTCCAGTTTTAGACCTTGTTTAGGAGTTTTAGGTTTAAATCTGGTTTAGAAATTGTTTAAGTAACACACATTTCATCCTTGTGGTTCTCATGGGATCACTTTTGGATATATGTACATGTCCAGGTGTATTTTAACTCAAATTTCAACTATGTCAAGAGTTGACAAAAAAAAGAAAAATCTTAGTTTAACCCTTATGATACGTGGTTAAACTCATATAATCATGTTTCACTTTGCCCGCAGCAAAAACTTAACCTCTCCACAAATAAAGCCAGTTGTATACTTTTGCTTTACTGCCAAATTGCTTGACAGAATAAATGGCTTTTGCATAATATCCCCTTGCGTTTCCAGTGCCCTCAAATGTTCTTTTTTGAGATAACGCTTGTGTGTGTGTGCGTGTGTGTGTGTGTGCGTTTGTGTGTGCATTATAAAGAGGACGGGGGAAAGAGGGATAGTCACAGTTGGGTTTCCGGAGCATATGGCCAAAACTTACAGCTCGAAAACTCCAGGGGACACGAGTGCTCATCCATTGGGAAGTTGTTCAGTTTTAGCTGGCACTCTGCGTCGATCGTCAACCTGTGGAGACACAATATTTAGAACCTCGCCACTGTGACTGTAGTAAACACAAAGCCGTCGCGACATAAGATGGATGTTTTTTCACAAGCATTCTGGGTATAGAGAAACCACAGCACATATGGTTTGTCAATGAGGCTTTTTAAATTTTTACTTTGTCACTTTGTGCAGCGCATGGGGTTGGGAAGGACTTTACTCAGATGGAATACATGTAAAATCACAGAGAAAGTAATGCAGTGATTGATTTATTACCACAGCAACTGGTATATTAAGAGAAAAACTGACACAGTAGACTTTGTCATCTGCATTAGACCCATCCTTCATGGACGGCACTCTGTTAGGGGCAATAATCGCCACATCAAAAAGCTGTCTCCAAAGTTAATGCTCGGCTTGGTCAGGATGACTGGACAAAAATAGATATTAGCTATTGTTTGTGTTTTTAGTGGTAGGGGGAACCGGAGCACCCAGAGGAAACAAATCCAGACACAGGGTGAAAAATGCTAAATTCTCTGTTTTGACCAGGATTCGACCCATTGAGATTCTTGCTGATATGCAAAAGTGCTAATCCACTCAGCCATAGTGCTGCCCAAGTTTCTACATCAATATATGGAATTGATTTTGTGACAACCTGGTAGTAAACACTGTTAACCATGATCAAATTCAACAATAAACAAAGTAATTGAGCTAGTTGTAAACAAGGAATACATCCAATATCACAAATTATTGTTTTATTAAAAATGACAGCAATATATAGTAATAATCAGCATATTTAAGAGGGGCGATGGATACAAGGATGACGAAGCAGCTGATCAATTTGAATTGTTTTTTGCTGAATTTAAGAACATGTGTGAATATAATATCTTAAATACTGTTGCACTTCCATGGGCCCCATAGGCATAAATAGTGAGGCTTATTTTCCATGATCAATGACATGTCAGGAGTTTTGATAAATGTCTACAGATTGAGGAAATGCTGAGTCGATAACATTGACCCTCTATTATTCTGACATATTTCCTGAGAGGTTTGTAATCAAAAAAATAATGAAGTTTGCAGAATATTCAAAATGTGATTTTCTGTGAGCTTAAAAAGACCCAGGGCCCTTGAACATAATCACACTGCTATGAAGGTGAAACGCTGTGTCCATTATGTGTTTAATGTCCATAATTTCATGCTTTAACTTTTTGTTCTTTATAGTGTATGAAATAAAGGTAGTAAAGGTTGTACATTTCTCCAGTGTGAGATCAATAAAGTCTATCTTATCTTATCTTATCTTAGGGGCGACAGTGGCTCAGTTGGTGCCTTTGAGCCTGAAGGTTGTGGGCTCGAGCTTATCACAAGACCTTCTCCACCGACTCCCACTGATGTCTGCTGTCGTTGTGTCCTTGGGCAAGACTCTTAACTCTCCTTTGCCTGAAGCCCCCACTGAAAGATCAAGGCTGTGTTGTTACTGACAGAGACGCTATCCTCCTGTGGACTCACCAGCTGCAGGAAGATCAATGAGAGGCTCGTGCTCTGTGAATTGCGTGGCAGCTACTATGAAGGGGGCACTGTGGACCTTTCCTGGAGCTGGATCGGTTATAAGTAGGGCTGTCCAAAATAGCGCGTTATTAACGCGTTAACGCAAATCAATATTAACGCCGTCATTTTTTTTATCGCGCGATAAAAAAAAAAAAAAAAAAAGTTTTTTTTTTTTTTTTTTTTTTTTTACTTTTTATTGCAGACAAACACATAGAAACAAAGAAAAGGACTAGTTCAGATACATTGTAGACAGAGATTACAAACAATATGTAGTTGGAGATACAGGGGGCCAAAGAAGAAACCCAGAAGGGCACATAGGAGGGGGAGGGACATGAAGTGGGAGATGGGGGGAGGGGTTAATAAAAAAGGCAATACAAGCAAACAGTATACAGTCATAGATATACCGAAGGTAAACAGAGAAACAGCATAGAGTATTTACATGAACAAATTTACAAAATATTTACAGATTGTTTATCATCATCATAATGACACCATGATGTTTCTATACAGTCTATGGTCTATACCCACACATACACACACACACCCACACACACACATTGAAGGGGCTTTTTGTTACCAATTATTTATTTTGCCATCCATTTATTGATGATTTTGCATCAAATGTTAGTGTGTAATATAACACTACACATTGTTTTCAATAAAAAAAGCAATTGCACACAGCACGCAAATGTGTGACTAATTTGCGATTAATCGCGAGTTAACTATGAAATTCATGCGATTAATCGCGATTAAATATTTTAATCGTTGGACAGCACTAGTTATAAGCTTTGGTGAATCTACACCTTGTTGTTTTACCTAGACTGTTCTTGAATATAAGCAATATGCAATTATTTGTTTGTATCTACAAGCAAACAATTTCAAAAGGTCATAGTTTAAGTCATACGTTTACACAGACCTCAGCAAAAATACTCAAGAAGACATGTTGTTTATATACATTTCATTCAGGAAATTGCAACTCAATGCACTTGACAAAAAAACCAGGACAATCATCCATAGTATACACATTTTATATAATACTGATATAATATACACACAACAACATTGCCATGACAACAGGTGGGTAGCAGATCACATTCCCTCATGAATGTTCATATTACTAACCAAAATGAAGATTTTCCAAAGACACTTTTATTTTTTCTCTCCACTGTCTATAAATCACAGCCCATTACCTTTTCCTTTTCATGAACTAATGACCTTAACTGAGTTCCCATCCAGTGTCATATATCACTGTCCTGGGTCGTCCTAATTACAGACTAGTTAAACCCAGACTGCTTTAAAACATTAATGAATCAGAAGAGATGGTTTTGTGCACAGAGAAACATCTATCAAAGCGGGGACAGGCGCTGAAAGACTGCACTTGACTTTGCTTGTTACCGCGGCTGAGATATTGCTTCGTCAGTGCACTGTCCGCTGTGTTTATGACGGCAAGGTACGTGATAATAAGCTGCATTATTATTTCACTGTGTGAATAAAGCCTCCTTATAGAGCCTGACATTCTGCTTAGTAGTACAGATTCCACCCAACAGGAGCGCAGCTGGCTCTATTCAGTATGTGGACAAACGCCAGAAGGAAAAAGTCCAGGCTTACTATGGGGGGCAATGTGTTTTAATAAAAGTCTTGGCTTCATTTTGAAACAATGGTTTTTGAACAGTGAAACAACATAGAAAAGCTTATCTCAGGTTTTTCATTGTTATTTATGCAGTCAATTTGTGCTGGAGTGATTTACATACTCCTGAAGCTCCGGGAATGATTCAGCAATTGTAATTACTTTATTAAACCAGTAGATGCTCAAACTACACCATGCACCTTTAGGAGTTTAAGTAAATGACACTGTGCCATAACAATTTTTTACAGTTTTCACTAAACACATGAAGAATAGGTTTGACACGTGTACAGCTGGCCTTAGTCCCGGATCCGGAGGTTTCTAAAATTAATTTCCAAAGGGTTTTTGAGTTGTTATCAAGAACATGTATAGACATTTGCATTGGAACTGCAAGATTCTCTGATCTGTGTAGGCAAAGCAACAACTCTGTAAATTTGACAACTGTTATGAAGGTTTTATAAAAATAAATGAATTGAAGTAAGAAGACCCTGTTTCAATCACTGTGTATGGTAAAATGCCAACTCTCAGTCTGTGGAAATATGCAATACAAATACATAATTCTTACTAACTAACCATATTTAAGTCTGAAACTGTTGTGTCTGGCAGATATTTAAAAGCGACTTTTTAACAGTGCCTTGAGCCTGGTTAAGTTAATCAATACAATGAATCATTAATGTAAATGGGTTGTAAATTGTGGGCTATTCTAATTGCTTTTAGGTTCCCCCGAGCCAATGATTTAACCAGGGAAATTCTATACTTCTAAGCCGCTGATCGTGCTTTTTTTTTTTAGAATGCCGTCTTGCCACTCAAGTTGGACTGGTTGGATAGTAAACAATTGTACCATTCCAACTAATAATGATAACATTCTTTCAACATTTTGGTTCGGCAACAAGTTTCAAATCCTTTCCTTTAAAGCGATACTTTCTCCATAGTCAGACTAAGGAAGACATAGATACCTTTAAGGCCTGGCTAATGCAATTTAATGCGAAATCTTATCCAAACATAAAGTGCTGTATGTACCTAAGTGTGTAGAGAATCCGTCCGTCGTTCCAGATCCGCAGCATCCGATTGGGTGTGGTGATCCAGTGGGCGTCGGCCTTCTTGGAGTTCCGAAAGAAGGTGTCGGGGATCCAGATCTTTCCCACCATGTTACTGTTGAGCCGCAACACCTTCATCGTGCTGTTGAACTTTAGTCTGCGGTCGTACCAAGTCTGAGCGAAGAAGATGTCGATGGTGTATTCCTGAAGACACAAAAGGGAGAAAGCGTGAACGTTTATGAACTTTATTTTGATATAAAATGGTAACTTATGTTTGGTAGAAATGTCACAGGGGATCACTCTTGCACCAAACATTCTCAACCTTTTTAACCAGCTCTCAGTTCACCCATGGCTTTTGCTTACTATGCAATAAATACAATGTTTTCTATTAAGATGAAGACACAACCCTAACCAATGCACAATATGACGGTCCGATGCCATGAGACTGTACAATTGCGATTAACCATTTCATGTGTAACTCGCTATTATCAATCAATCAATCTTTATTTATAGGGCGCTTTTCCTGCACAGGGCAACACAAAGCGCCTCACAGTCCACACCACACAATGCACAAATCATCACCATTAAAATACAATTAAAAACACATATGTAATTAAAAAGCATTAAAATCACATAAGTAATTTAAAAACATAAAAATCACACAAGTAATTAAAAACAATAAAATAGTTAAAAACACAAAAAGTTACAACAATAAATAACAAGGTGTGTTAAAAAGATAAAATTCTCTAGTTGTATGCACGGGAAAAAAGAAAAGTCTTTAACATGGATTTGAACATTGACAGAGAGGCAGCCAGTCTCACATCCTCAGGAAGACCGTTCCAGACTCCAGCTGCATAAATCTGAAAAGCAGCCTCCCCCTGTCTAGTCCTGACTCTGGGCACTAACAGGAGTCCCGTCCCTGCGCTCCTCAGAGTCCGGGCTGGTTCATATGGGACTAGCATATCATGGATGTACTTTGGTGCAAGGCCATGGAGAGACTTGTACACCAGGAGAGCTGCTTTAAAGTCTATCCTCTGGGCCACGGGAAGCCAGTGCAGAGACCTGAGGACCGGACTAATGTGGTCGTACTTCCTGGTTCTAGTCAGGACTCGGGCTGCAGCATTTTGAATATACTGCAACTGTCTTACTGCATGTTTGGAGATACCTGTGAGCAGGCCATTGCAGTAATCCAGCCTACTGGAAACAAAAGAATGGATAAGAATCTCCAAGTCTGCCCTGGACACAATATTTTTAATTTTGGCAATATTTTTCAGATGATAAAAAGCTGCTGATGTTACCGATCCAATGTGGCTATTGAAGTTTAAGTCAGAGTCCATTATTACTCCCAGATTTCTGACCTTATTTAAGGGCCTTAGGGAGAGAGACTGAAGGTGACAAATGACGGTCTCTCTTTGTTTCTCGGGACCAAAGACAATCATTTCGGTTTTGTCCGCATTTAGCTGGAGAAAATTGCATTGCATCCACTCACTGATCCGCTGGATACAGCGAAGGAGTGAGTCCACCGGCCCATGCTCTCCTGCAGTCAGTGAGACATAGATCTGAGTGTCATCAGCGTAATTGTGGTAGGACACTTTCATACTTTGAATTAACTGACCTAATGGCAGCATGTAAATATTGAACAGGAGAGGTCCCAGAATCGACCCCTGTGGCACTCCGCAGGTCAGGGCCATATTATCTGAGACATAGTTTCCAATCTCCACACAGTACTTCCTTTCTTCTAGATAGGACCTAAACCAGCTTAGGGCGGTACCAGCAACACCAACCCAGTCCTCCAGTCTCTGCATGAGAATCTCATGGTCAACGGTGTCGAAAGCGGCACTCAGATCTAACATGACTAAAACAGAGACTTTTCCTGCATCAGTGTTAAGCCGAATATCATTTGTTACCTTGACTAGAGCGGTCTCAGTACTGTGGTGTGGTCTAAAGCCAGACTGAAACATGTCAAATGAGTCATTAGATATTAAAAATTCAGTAAGTTGTTGGTAGGCAACTTTTTCAAGAATTTTTCCCATGAAAGGCAGATTTGAGATGGGACGGTAATTTTCAAGTACCGCAGCATCCAAACTGCTCTTTTTTAGGAGGGGCCTAATGACTGCCTTTTTCAGGGCCATTGGAAATGTTCCAGATAAAAAAGACATGTTTACTATTTGTGTCAATGAGGGTAATAGACTACACATAACAGACTTCAGAAATCTAGGAGGTAGTACATCCAGACTGCAGGTAGAGGAACTAAGACCTGTGATTATCTTTTTAACAGTTTCATAATTGACAGGTGCAAATTGAGCTAGCTCACAAAGCCTCACTGGATGTTGCATTGTTACTTGTGTTGTAGAGGTGATGGCATTTCTGATACCCTGAACCTTGTCTCTGAAGAGACAGATTATTATAAGAATTTACAAGATGTACACATTACTCCGAAACCCTGACTGTAAATTGCAGAATGTACTTATTTTTAGCAAATTTTTATGGCTACTTGTTACTAAATCTAATTCTAATTTAATACTCAATATTTTAAGCACAGGGATTTATATTATTACCTAGATTTCACATTATTGTTTCAGTGGTTCTCTTCAGAATCAGAATGTGTCATCTTCCCATTCTAAGTAACAGGAAGTCACAAACAAGGTATTTGCTTTTGCATATGGTGCAAACAAATTACACCAAAAATTGTACTAACATTTTAAAATATAAATACACACAATAGACATTGAACAGTGCAGATTATTGATAAGTGACCAGAGGTATGATACCATTTATTCCTCCAGTTACACAAGGAGCGCAGCAACACTGACATATTCAGATCTGACGAGGCAAAGCAAAGCGTATTTCCCAAAATTGCAAATCTATGAAACAGACTGTCTCCAACCTGGCAGCAGATGTACTGGCAGAAAAAAGGACGAATGGATACATATGAAATCCAACTATATGCCAAAAAAGTGTTTTGTTTTTTCTCTTCCAATGCAAACACTTATTGTATCCTTCCCCCCCATTCTTAGTGCATCTCCTCAGACAAGATGGCACCTCTTCAGGCTGTGGAGTCCCTTTGTCCCCCAGTGAGAAGGCTGTTGAGAAAGCCCATCTTGACGCTCTCAACCTGAAAATTAAATGTTCATCGGGCCAATTAATAATTCCCTGGTTTGTTTGGCTCTGGGATTATCCAACCCTTGTCACCCTCTGGCTTGGCATCGCCTTGTCCACACAAAGACAAAAGCTCATTTGAAAGCGTCATATGAGGGTTTTGGGTAATGGACTGTATCGAGAATAGCAATGCGGTCAAATGTGGGAATAAAGAGGAATTATCGAAGGCTCTGGTTTGTTCTGTGTGCAAGTCGGGGCTTTGAGGTTTCAAAGTAAAGAGCAGAGAGATAGAAGGCGAGAGAAAAGGAGAAATGTGGGGATTTGTGTGCAGGAGGGCATTCAGGCATTAGCTCTCTGACAAAGCTGAGGACACAATAAAGCCTAAATCCACATCGAGTCCAGATTTGAAAACAACATTCCCGCCCAGCAGCCTTTGAGAGTTTCCCAGCAACGGAGACTAAATACTTTGAAAACAACAACAAAACATGTTCCGTGTGTTTCATGTTTCTGCTTACTATTGACTTCAAAGTATTTCCAGGGTCAGAGAAATGAGCAGTGATTCTATTCTGAGCTTCTTCTAACTCAAAAATGCATACATACATAAAAACATGTGATCCTAAATTACGTTTTTTGTAATATCTCCAATTTACACCCGTCTTAGGCATGTCTTTACTACGCAAGTTACGAACAAGAATGGCTATTCATTGTATTGATAATAATAATAATACAAATACATAGTACTTATATAGTGCTTGTTGGATACTCAGAGACGCTTTACAAAAGGACCTACAATAAAAAAGCTAATATATATAAAAAAAAAAACAAATTTAAATTAATGAGGTGTAATTATGTAACGCGCCACTCTGCTTGGGGTGGATTTCTATTTTCTTACGCATCTACATCGCTTGTCCTGGCTCATCACTACGGGGAAGGCAGGAATAAGGCCAGATCGATCACTTTTGCTGTAAATTGAACACTTTCTACGCACTTATCCGGTCTACATTACGCCTTAATCACAGTCCTCACCTCGCTTAGTGTAAATTAGGGACACCATGATTTACTTCATTTATTTTTCACCGAATTGTAAAACGCTTTGTGTGACCTTGGTCCATGAAATGCGCTACATAAATAAGTATTAGTTACATACTATTTTTTAGTAACAGTACCTGCCAAATATTCACATTGCAGTGAGTGGATGTGAGTGTGATTACGATGTGCAATTGTATGCCATGTTTTTGTATCGCGCACCAATAAAATTATCTTGAACCTTGAGTGTCGGCCCTTTATTAAAAATGAGTGGAATAGTGATTTAATTCAATATTTTTTGTACAAGTAAAACATAAAAAGCGGTATTTCACATGAAAAATAAGTGCACACAAGGTTTTAGAATTTAAAATTATTATTCGTGTAATCTAGAAAGAGGCTAAGTGCCGCCAACCTCTCTAGTTCATGGCACAAAACACAATGACTTTAAGACTTTTTGGCATCCTTTATGCTTTCAGTTGATTAATGAATCCACAAGACATGCATTTAGCAGAACAAAAAACTTCTTAAAGCCTCCAACTTTAGCATATAACTTCATTTTAAGATATTCCGTCCTTTGCTCAGAGCTTGTAATCAGGCCATAAGTACATATTTTCTGCTTCCTCCTCCAGGCCTCTCTGCCAGCCTCTGTACGAGCTTGGTTTTCAGCAGTGGGTGTTTGAGCTAAGGCTAACTCACATGGAACAGTGCCTCGGCTCTGTTCGGAGGCATTGCAACACGAGTGGGCTCCCAGCGGGACGCCAAACACAAAACAATGACACAAAACACAACCTGAAGTGAGTTTACCATTATTCCGTCAGCTGCCTCCAACGTGCGACTTATAAGTGTATATGAGAATGGATTTGAGGGCATGACAAGGAACAACCTGAGTGAATAACTACGCCTTAAACGACAGTAACAGAAAAATGGTGCCCATGCAATGTCAGTCTGAGTAAATATTTAGGGCTGTGTGTCTTAGTGTTAGCTGATACGATATGGATTGCCATAGGCCGCAATAGCATACAAAACTAGATATAGGGAACTCGCAATTCAATATGATTCAATTACAAATATAGGCGTTTGGTTGTTATAGCAAACATACTAACAAAACAACATCATTAGTGCATTTATATCTCACTTATTTGAAGATTGATTTTGTCTGTTTGCAATATCTGTGTGAAATGCATTAAATGAAAACAAGCATATTGCAAAACCCTTCGACATATGTGATTAAATAGAGTAATCAGAGTAATTACAATTATAATGAAAAAGCTGCTGGCAGAGAAATACGCTTGTGTCGTTTAAAAACCACACATTATATATTCTAAGAGCCTTTCATCAAATACTCACAACAGGTTAAATTTTATCTCCGGATTTATGATATATCCAAACGAAGACAAAACGCTTATAATTTCAGAAACTTTTTCTGTAAACACGGAGTTAGCTCAGTAAATGTGTGCGTCCATATGAATGTAGTCAATACGCCTGAAAACGCTGTGAAACTATGCCAGACCTGTTGGTGGCGCTGTGACGCAATGACGGGATCAAGCCCAAACTTCCGTGGGCATGCGCGGAATTTTGTAAACAGACAACATGGCGAGTGGGTGAGCTGGTACTACATTAGTATGGACGGACGATGAGGTTGAACTGTTGCTTCGGGTCACACTGGATTACAAAACCAACAAGCTACATTGTTGTTGTCATTATTTTCTGAGTGCGGCGCATGCGTGCTTTAACAAGAGGCGGGGCGATGACGCAAGCGTCTCAGATACATTGCGGAGAGGCAGTAACCACGGAGCGGCATATACGGAGTTTTGAAATCTTTCCACTCTGGGACCTAGTTTCAAAAATGTTCGTTTACACCCCCCCAAAACGCCGGCCTCGTATGGACGATACACTGGATTGATAAAGTATTTTTGCGTTTAGGCCTGAGCTTGACTTCGTGTGGACAGGGTCTTAATCAGTTCTTTATCAACAGAACTGGTGAATAAGAAGTAAGAAAAAAAAACAAAAGATATTGGACTAAATATTGGCTCGTATGGAATAATCATTGGTATATTGTTTTGTTCCAATATGGCCAATCTGTGTTGCCACATTTGCCAAACTCATCAGCTAAACGCCCAAAAAGTTGGTGGCTGTGGCTTGTGTACACATTAAAGCTGGGGTATCTAAAATGTTTTCCCAAAAATACCACATTTTGTTTGTCTCGAGAGAAGGTCATATTAGAGAACATATTATCTTTTGCATACTTGATAGAAACCTCCCCATCATTCACTATTTTACACTATGAGCTGAAAGCTGATTGGCCGAGCAACATGGGGCCTCTCTTTTCCACTTCTCTGTCTGAAATGTAATAAAAATACATACATGTGAAAACTAGTGCAACTGATTTGAGGGCAAGGCACGAGTTAGATTGATTTCATTACATAGTTCAGCTTTTTGTGGTTTGAAAGTTAGCTACCCCAGCTTTTAACCAAAAACCTTTGAGCCCAGAGCAAAGGGCAGAGCGGCTGTAAAGATGTGACTGAGGCTGCATTGTGCTGCTACAGCAGAGGATCAGGGCCAGAGCAGCCATTAGAGCAACAAACCAATCCTCCACGACAGCAGCATCTGAGACTGCAGCTGAGTGTGTTCACAGAGAGAGTCTGTATCGTGCAACGTGAAGCTTGGGGAATTCTGTCTTGAGTGTTTTTTCCTTGCTGTAAAGCTGGTGTATACCTTCCCCCCATTCTCATACAGATACATTGTGTTTGTTCTATCGGAAATAGTCTTGAAAAGTAAAATTATGTGAACAAATCAAACTACATCATTCTTTCTTGCTCTTACTGTTCTTGCTCCAGTGGTACTTACCATGTTGATGGCATTGACCGGCCCGATGCTGTTGACGAACATGTCCGTATGGATCACAGTTGGTTTCACTGAAAAGAAGAAGAACAGGATATTGTGATGATGTAGACGGAGGTGGTTACAACAGAAACTCAGCCACATCAAATTGACCTCCGCCAAGGTGGTAAAAAAATACCCTAAATCATTTTGAATACATTTTGTATGCATTTGAATGAATTTTCCTAACTTGACCAACCCTGGGTCATTGAGATCATTTTAATCTTAAATTAGATGACTTTTAATCACTGTGGCTGATTATTTTGACCCAATCATTTTATGTGTCAATGACCACACAAAGCATTGGTGGGATTCATATGTGGGAACCTCATACACACCATAGCACACATCATCTGATAATTGTCACAGCCTGTCTCCATCCACATACATTCAGGATCAAATAGAAGTCAGGACATACTACACTGCACGATAAAGAAGTTGTAAAATCCCTCACGCTCAAGCCTGCACCTGCGTCTTGTAAGGTCAAGTCCCTGTTCAGTCCAACTCTGCTTGTGTCACAATCCACATATTTGGTGAGTATTTATGTTCCAACTCCTGGTCCATTTACAAGAATTCCCACTGTGTGCGTCCGGTCAATTCTTTCTTCACCCTTTTCCCTTTCTCTTACATTCTCCTACTGAAAAGCTCTGGCTCTGACCCAAAGATTGCACATGGGCCTTCTCCAAGGTTATACAGAGCTTGATAAAACTTGTACTTAGGAGTGGTAGTGGTAGTGGTGATAGCAGTGGTAGCAGTGGTAGTAGTCCAAGATTAGTAGGGATTAGATTAGTAGGGAGATTAGGTTGTGGCAGTTGCTATTTGACATTGTATAGCATTGTATAGTAATCAAATGCTTTATTCCATCTTAAACCCACTGTATACATCCAGTGTAATCCAAGGACATGGATAACCAGTTCACATGAAAGAAGTGGCGGGTCATAGCTTGTTTTGCTTTCTTTCTGAATCACAATGAGACAATAAAGGTCACATCTGCATCATGCGTCTGTGTCAATTGCACCACAAGATCTCAAGGGATTATGGCAACATTATCCAAAACATATATGATTAGAAATGCCATGTCCTCAATACGCACGCTCTCTGGTTCACCTCTGCGCACCTGTGTATGTTACAGCTCACACATGGTTGCCCACGGCGACACGCACCAGACCTAGCGCCCGCATGATGACAGGCTAAAGTGGTCAAGCCTCTGGTCAAACGCATGTCAACGCTCTGAGTCATCAGCATCGTTTCTGCTCCATCTAGCATGTGTCTGTGCACTTATGAACTGTTGACGGATAGCTGCGTCTGGAGAGGCCGGGCCGAGGGATAGTTATGATAATAGGAAAGAATTATTTTTGAGATATGCCAACTCATTAGCCCCAAACCAACTGTTTTAAAAATCCATACGGGGATTTTGAAAGGGAAAATTCACTTCTGGAATCTGGAAACTCCGATCACTTTGCCGCACCATAGGCCAGTCACCTTGGATATTTCACTAATAATGTCCCAAAAAATGATTTCTCACTGTAGTTATTTTAGTCAATTTGTATTCTCTGTCATGGTAAATTCATAAAACATGAATAATAATATTGCCTTAGAATTATTTTTGAGATAATGCCAACTCATTTGCCCCAAACAACTGTTTTCAAAATACATACAGGGATTTTGAAAGGGTAAATTCACTTCCGGAATCTGAAAGCTCCAACCACTTTAGCCGCACCATAGGCCCATCACCTCATGTCTACCCCAATTTTTTTATTTTAATACAGTGGCTATTTTAGTCATTTTGTATTCTCTGTCATTCATTAAACATAAAAAATAAGATTGCCCCATGTAATCGATGCAACACAACGTTTGACCACAGGGAAAATTTAGTTTTTGCTGTACTAGAACAAGATTCCAAATCATCTGTCCCCCCCCTCTGTTCTGACCACCGGGGCGAATATTGTACAAAATAATCAAAATAGCCGTACTTGCAGCCTTACTAGCTATAATCATGAACAAACTAAAGTGATTTGAAACGACTTTAAACCTGCCATACACAATTAGAGTTTTATTATTCACTCGGATGAATTAAAAAACATTTATTCTGGAAAGACTCTCCAAAAATAGACATTGTCACTCATCATGTATAACCCAGGTCTAAACTTAGACACACACAGAAATACAGAGGGAATGTTTGGATGCATTTTTCATGTCAGTGGGTGTGCGGAGCCGAGCTGATTCTCCTCCCCCCGGGCCACGCTGACAACGCTGTACATGTATGACTATGGGGACCATGAGCGACCATGCGATCACACATTCACAAATATTCACACACGTAACAGCATTGCTCTCACACTCCAGCTCACATCATGTTCCAACAATTACGCTCGGCTTTTAAGCACATTTAAGTGCAGTGGAGATGTGGGCCTGGGTTCAGAGCAGAGCTGGGGGACTGGTTCAAGGGAATGTCCTGCTTTCAGAACGAGAACATCCCAAGACAGTACAGTAGGCGGCAGGTCAGTGTCGACGATGGTATGGAAGAAATGTGTGTCAATGTACTTGTTCTGATTGATGGTCCTTGTCTATAATGTGCCATTTATTCTAAGAATCGGCCATTGTCTCATGAGTTGATATTGTTTATTTAAGTATTCTAATCTTGATTTTTGTCACTCTCCAATCTTGCATCTAACATATAACAAATTTTGTGCACTTATTGAGAACATAACAAAACACAAAATAATTCAAACCCTAGGGGTACATAGAGAAATGTGTTTAGCGTATGTGGAATTTCATTTGAAAGATATAGAATATTTCTGGAGTCATTGTTGTTTTTTTTACAAAGAAAGTACTTTTAATATTTGATTAAAATACTCTTCTCTCAAAACACAATGTTATCATCCTGGTTCATAACAAACATATATCTAGAGCCTCTGACTATGGAGAAATATTAATAAAAAAGAGAATTTTCCTTTTCCCATGTTTTCATTTTTTCTGGTTCCAATGTTGACTATTGAACTAATTTAAAAGTTAATGTCATAACAAATTAACGTAAGTAAGTAAGTAAGTAAGCTTTATTTATATACCGCCTTTCACAGACCAGAGTCACAAAGCGGTTTACAATTGTTATTTTTTGGGCACTTGTCCTCTCACTCCACACAGAGATGGGAGTGGCGTCGCCGAACATGAGGCGCATGCCAGACCTATTGTACATATTTTTTGTGGTAGGGGAAACCGGAGTACCCGGAGGAAACCTACGCAGACACGGGGAGAACATGCAAACTCCACTCAGAAAGGCCCTGGTCCGGCCGGGATTCGAACCCAGGACCTTCTTGCTGAGAGGCAAGAGTGCTATCCTCAGCCACCGAGTGGCCAACGTCTCCATGAAGACAAGAATTTGACACAATGTTCCCCTAAAGTAATGAAAGAATAAACGCCTACTTAAATCTAAGCATAAAAAGACCCATCTGCAAAATTAGACTTTACATTTAGACCACAAATAACAATGACTTTAAGGTTGTCTGAAAAATGCTGTACCACAAATGCTTTTTTTTGTGGTCTGAAAAATCACATCAAAACCAATGGATTTTTGTACAGCATAAATTACAACAGTAGAAAGACAAAGTCCCTTCAGGAAAGATGAATCCAACATCAACCGTCATTGTGTAAGACCTATATAATTGTCTTTCAGAGCTTTGAAATAATCCATTTTACATTTTCAGAAGCCAATGACCTTGATGTATGCCATGGATTATCAAAAGTTACAGCTTCTTTTCTCACCCTCTTTTTTTCCCCCGACTTTTCACACGTGCGTACACAGCTCCAGCAAACCCAGAGGCATTCAAATCAAACAATCCCTACAATGGACTTCAAACACACGCCACAATCCACATACAATCTAAATCCTTGACATTTGAGTCGGAGGAGGGATACATGAAAAAAAAAAAGGGAAAAATACCCTGCTCGCTAGTCTACGGTGGCAGTTTGGGTTGATTGGTCGACATCGCTGTGATGACAGTGCATCGCTGGCTAATTATAACTCATGCGGCTGGGTAGCTTGGCAGCGCAGAAAACACAAGATCATAGACTATTTGAAGATGACGGCTAAGTCAGTAGCAGCTAGCTTTGCGGCGGGGGCTACATCGCACTCTCAAAGCGCAACTCGCCAATTTAAAAAGGCGCCGCTAACCCACTTCTGCCATCGTATAGAAGCCAATGAAATGCCCTCACGGGACGAAACGAGAACATAGTAAAGAAGAATATCGACGAGGTCTTTGAGACGCGACATAAAAGTCAAAGCTCGATTGAATGTCTGCAAAGCTTTAATGTGGGGCGGTCTCTCCTCTTCAGTTCATTAGTGAATACAATGTTACGCTGAAAGGTTGTCCAAGCACAGCGAGAAGTGGGGGATTGACCGAGAAATACTTGTGTTTGGTTTATAAGCGTCTGACAGCTCATTAAAGATGTTGTTAACTACTGTGAAATGGGATACCACCGGAGGGACTAGTTACAGTACTTTTCCCACCGATATGACAGGCGTATGTGTGTATTGAATTTAATGATGAGAAATGTGATCTACGGCAGATACCAATACAGATTTTTGAAAAGTTAGAATATACGTATTAACAAGACATTTTTTTTTTTTATTGGATTGGATTCCACAAATTAACAATGGGTTTGTGCTAATTATATTGTGCTAGCAACAATGCCTTGAAGAATATTGATGGATATAGGCTCATTTTAAAGAAGAGAAGGAAAGGAAAACAGAAAACCAAGGAAGCCAGTGTTTCGTATATTTGTTTATATTGTTTGTATCTGTGGTTATTTCCATTGTGGTGTTTTGAAAAAATTATTACCTTATTGGTAGGTTTTCTGAAAATAAAAATAAAAATGGTTATGGATTGACACAGAACTGGACCGTTTGGGGGTAAGGTTGTGTGTTTTCCTGATAAAGTCAGTGATAAAATGCCATGGAAGATATGGAATGGATGGAAAGAAGTTAGGCTGTTTTTTTATTATTTTATTTTCAGTGTATGTGTATTTTATATTACAT